CTCCTAGGAGTTGTTTAATGAATGATAAAAATTTTGAATGTATCCTTTGGGTCAAGGACTGTGATTTGTGTGGGAACATAAAGTGGTAAACAAAACAGATGCAACTCCTACCTCCTGGAGGTTGTCTAATGGGAGAAGTAGGCATTAAATAAATAACTACAGTAGTCCCTTAAATCCACAGGGGATACTTCCAAGACCCCCAGTGGATGCCCAAAACCGTGGATAGTAGCAAACACTGTATGTACTATGCTTTTTTTCTTACACATACATACATACCTATGATAAGGTTTAATTTGTAAATTAGGCACAGTAAGGGATTAACAACAACAATAATAAAATAGAACAATTCTAACAATGTACTGTAATAAAAGTTATGTGAATGTGGCATTAAGTAAAATAAGGGTTAGTTGAACACAAGCACTGCGACACTGCAACAGTCAATCAGATAACTGAGGCAGCTAGTCAGTGACTATCGGGCTGGTAGCACATACAGTGTGTACGTTGGACAAAGGGATGAAACACATCCCAGGTGGGACAGAGTGGATGGCGCAAGATTTCATTGTGCTGCCCAGTCAGCGTGCACTTTCAAACTTATGAATTGTTTATCTCTGGAATTTTCCATTCACTATTTTGGACAGCGGTTGGCCATGGGTTGGAACTGCAGCAAGCAAAGCCGCAGATAAGCGGGGAGTACTCTATACCATTGCAGCTGGTAGCTGCTATGTATGCTCTGGCCTCCCAGAGCTGTAACATCTAAGCTGAGACCTGAAGGATGCCAGACTTAGTTACTCAAAGGAGGGCAGGAGGAGTGTTTTAGGCAGAGGGAATACAGCCCAAATCATGCTCTATGGAACACTGAGAATGTTGAACGTGGCCATGCCTGAGGATTCTTAGAGGACGGTCACTCCCACAAGACCATGAGCTCCTGGAGAGCAGGGATCTCTACTACAGAGCTCATGGTAAGCACGTTAGTATTATATGTCTTTAGTAAATAAGACATTGGTCATAGGCAGTCTTTGATCTGCTCTCTGTTAGACTTTCTTTGTATTAAAGTATGACGTATTGCTTATAAAAAGATCTGAAGTAACTTGGTTTTTCAAAAGCTGCTTCCCCAGCTCGGCTGGCTGGTGGCTGCCCTTGGAGAAGGCTTTTTTGCCAGGTCAGCGTATCCTCATTCTGCCCCTCCTGCTGTTCTCCGGACTGTTTTCTTCCCCTGTTGGCTTGTCCTTTAATTAGAGAACCTGGCCAATGGGACATGGACATAGTGTTCCAGGAGTGTTTTGTATGGGTTTCTACAGAGATGCAGGAGTCTCACCCTTGTATGTCAATCACAAATAAAGCAGAACATCAGTTTCTAGAATTCTTGGGACGTTCTCCTGCGTACGTGAGATTTCCAGGTCACTGAAGACTACCCTTTGCATACTCGAACTATTTTAAGTCAGTCCCGATTTCATTGTTCTCGTTTTAAAATATGTTAGGCATTTCTCTTTCTTTTCTTTTTTTTTTTATGAGTATGCTGTCAGTGCTTCTTGAGGGTGTGTATGACTTTGCCCTTATAACTGATGACTCCAGGCACCTGAAAACATACAAACCTAAATTTTGTAGTCATCCTGTTTGCTACTTTGTAATTAGGAGAGTGTTTGAAGCTTGTCACAGCTGTCAGCACACTTAGCCTTTATAACCCCTGCCTCTTTGTCATCTGTTGGTACTGATAAACTGTAAAGTTGGAAATAAACTGTAAAACTGTAAACCCTCTAACCAGGTTTTATTTGCTTGTTCACGTATTTAAAGATTTGTTCTTTCAACAAATATATCTTCAGCCGAGCATTGTGCTAAACACTGGTGTTGCAAAGTTCAATAGAACATGTTCCTTGCTCTCCAAGAGCCTTCCTTCTAAAGGAATAGAGTATGGGGGATCGTGTTGGAGATTTGGGCCAATGGGAACACACTGGACAAGCACCTACACCAGACTGAGCTGCCGCCTCGTCAGAACTATGTTCAGGGACTGGGTGGGCCCCCGTAATGACCCTGAATTGCTTAATTCATGAAATACACAAACTTCACTGCCTAGACCAGGGGTCGGCAAACTGCAGCTCGCAAGCCACATGCGGCTCTTTGGGTACGTTCCATCTCAAAAGTTTGCTGACCCCTGGAAGAGCCAATCCTGTCTCTCACAACAATTTAAAAATTATTCGAGAGCCATAAATATATTTTTACATAATCATTATGTGACTAATATTCTTTAAAATTTTTATAGATGAAACTATGATAGTTTTATTTTCATTTTCAATTTTACTTCAAAACCACATTTACGTACCCAAAGAGCTGCATGTGGCTCACGAGCCGCAGTTTGCTGACCCCTGGCAGCTCTTCCATCTCAAAAGTTTGCCAACCCCTGGCCTAGATTGTGATCCTTCTGTTTTGGCTGCTGAGGCCATTGCCTATGTCTGTGCCACGTTCTAGATAGTGCGATCGCCTCTCATGAGCTAAGCTCCAGGTAAGTGAGGTCTTACCTGAAATCACTGGTCTTTTTTTTTTTCCAATATTTATCATGATTAATGATACTGTTGAATCACTTGGTTAAGGTGCTGATCCCCAGACTTCCCCATTGTAATGGTGTATCTTTTCCCTGTGTAATCAGTAATTTATAGGCTAATAACCTTGACATGTGAATTTCTTGTTCCCCAAAAACTTCTCACTTAATGTTTTAGAGTCCATCAATGAGCCTTTCCTGAATCAGTCATGGGTGTTGCAAAATGGTGATTTTTTTTTCTGGTTCTAACATTTCTTCTACTGTCAGTGTTCTGTAAAGACTTTTATACCTCTCTTTTCCTTCCCCTCAATAATGTGGACTAGACTTTTATTTAATCAATGCATTGTAATCCTTACAGCCTTTATTCTTTTTGGTGTTCGAACTGTCCCAAGTGTGGCTATTTGGGAGCCCCCTCACGCTGGCCCCTGTATCCTTTTACACTAATCCTTGAACATAACAAGGTGTTCCAGGCTCACCTTGTGCTCTCTCTGCCCCAACCCCTGCAATAGCCATTTTTCTAGTAGCACTTCTATTGCAGAATAAAACTTAGAAACCAGGACTTGGGCACCAGGAGTGTTCACTGCTATGGAGAGGTCATTGTTCTCAGGCTCTTTCAGTAGCTAAAGCCAGGCAATATATTAAAAGAGAAAAAACATACATTTGTATTGATATTTCTTCTAAAGTATTAATCTATTATAAGGTCTTTTTTGTTAGAAACTCAACTATGGTGATGCTTTGAGCTTATCTAAGAACCTTTTCTCTTAAAAAAAAAACTTAAAATCCCTTTGTACCTGTTACTCTTACCTCTCTGGAGGGAGAAAGGACATCTGCATTAATCACATGTTACTTGAAGAGAAAAAAAAAGCAGTGCTCAGAAAGGTTAAATAAATTGCCCAAGATGACATTATCATTTTATTGTGTTCACTCTTTCTGTGTGTATTTGTGCCACTTCTGTTATGGGAAGAGATCTCCGGCAGTATCTCTTATACATTTTTTTTTCTTTCTTTTTTTTTTTTTTCTCACGCTGGCTGCTGGCCGCTCACGCTGGCTGCTGGCCGCTCACGCTGGCTGCCGGCCACACACGGTAGCCCATGGCAACCCATTGCCACAGGGGCTGCAGCCTACGCCGTCACTGGCAACTCACGAGCAGCCCAGCTCCAGGCTGAGCTGTAGTTCAGCATCTTAGCTGTGGAGGGCAGTGTCACTGGCCCTCATATGTGGGATCCGAACCAGGGCCCTCTGGCATCCCAAGCCAGTTCTTAACCATCACGCCACTCGGCCGGCCCATCTCTTATACATTTTTGCAAATCCCTTTTATTATCATACATTTGCTATATGTCAAAAAAGTATTTTTAATGTTGCCAATATTTATCATTTATTCTGGTTACTTTCAGGTGCAGCTAAATCAAGTCCAGCATCTAAACCAGGTTCCACACCTTCTCGTCCCTCATCAGCCAAAAGGGCTTCGTCCAGTGGCTCAGCATCAAAATCTGATAAAGATTTGGAAACACAGGTCATACAGCTTAATGAACAGGTAACGCATCATCCCTGGCCCTGTCTCTGGGAACAGTGACAGGTGTAAGGGGGGGTGGGAGCAAACCCCTTACAGGCCTGGGATGAGGGGGCAGGGAGGCAGAATTGGTGGTTACAAGGAAGTAAGAATAAAAGGAATTGTTCGGGCAGATGAAATAAGTGGCCCATTCTGAATAAAAGATGTTAGTCACAGATCTCAAAGCTACACATGGAGACAGAAGGACAAATGACTCAGCCCCAGGTAAATACATGCTTGCAGGCTAACCTCCTCCTCTGTCTTTCATGAGCTCCGGGCTAGACCATGGCCTATCTGCCCACTTCTGACCAGTCTAGATGGTGTTAAGGGTTTTAGGATTAGACCCCTTCCTCCTCCCTTTCCTTCAGCAACTATTTGTGAAGCCTGGTCTATGTGACAGACACTGGACTTGATGCTAATAACATAATGGTAGCAAGACAGCTACCGTCTCTCCCCTCGTAGAACTTACAGCAATTGTACAAGGTGGGCAATTATGCCAGCAAAGCCAAAAAACTTAACACTTACCACAACAGCTCCTTACCACAAGATCACTGAACCCAATATTGGGGTGATCAGAAAGTCCACAGCTCTGTTTTCAGTAGAACGTTCCTATTTATCTAATAGTCTTCACCATTACAGTAAATCGAGCTCTACTGTCATTTTTATATAAAATGTTTTATATAAAAGCTTAGGTATGCTTTCTAGCTAACAATAGCTAATTTTGTCTAAAATGATACATAGTTTTAAAAGTAATAAAACGTTGATAGGGAAGAGCCCACTGCAACGCCACCTACCCTGGCCCTGAGTTAGGAGCAGGATCTTTTATCCTGGCTTCTCCCACCCCTGGGAGAGGAGCCTTTATTTGAGGTCCTCAGGCTGTTCCCAGGCCCACTCGCTGGGCCATTCCCCATGATTAATCCAATTCTTGATGAATTCTGGAAACAGTTTTTGAGCTAATTGTATGTTTGTAATCAAGAACCTAGTTTAAAAGCAGGCAGTTGCTTAGCTAGAGTGTTTCTAGTGGATCCTTACAATTCTGATCACTTTAATGAACAAAGTGACACCTTAAGTCATCCAGTGGGTAGGACTTTGATTTAGAAACTGTAGAGTGCTCTCATTACCTGCTGAGTCTCAGTTTGAGCCCATATAGAATTCCTAATGAGTTCTTCTCAGATGACAGGCAGTTAGGACATACCTAATGAACCCTGGACCACATGCCTCATGCTTCAAGCAAATGAGGTAGACATAAACAGCATCAGGCGTGGGTCTGTTCATTAGATCTATAACTCGTTTCTCCTTAGGAGCTCGGATTCTTTTGTTTTTTAAGATTTTTATTGGGGAATTAGGGGGATGGGAACAATGCTGGGGAATTGGGGGAAGGGGAACAGACAAGTTGCTGTTGTTTTGTTCTTCAGTCTAGTTGTGGAGGACATTGCTTCACTGGCCCAAGTT